CTCGATATTAATTCATGAGCAACCACGGCTTAAAGTCTTTGATAATTTATCTGATGAAGTTATGCCAATAATAATGCTGCTCTCCTTTCAAACAGCATAAGCTCAAGTACAGTACTTATTTCTTCACATTGATAAGATGCAGGGAAACATAGTAGCAAAAAGAATAGTGCAGTGTTTCTCTCATGCGAAAACATAATTTCTATGAGATTGTCGCCGATGTTTTACTGATCTTTGTAGGTAGTTGTTATAGAAAATAGAACGAATCTGGCAAAGCACAGCACCTGTTTTATAATGTACTATCTAGTTATTCTGACTCTTTCGATACAATCCATCAAAATATCAGCTTGTCATCTGTTTTCGAATCTATGGAAAAGGATTCTGCGTTGCGACGATAAGATAATATTTCAAATATTTTCAATCGACCGAATTTTGGAACCATGGATCAGAAATGGTCAGGAACGATAAGTCTCATTGAAAAGTTTTCGTATTTACAACATATCAAAGTAGTTAGTGACGTGTAACTTGAAAAGTTGAGATTATCAGTCAAATTGCACATACGATCACACAAACATTTTTTATCATTTTGAGGATAGGCTGATTTTGAGAGAAATGACGGATGAATATAAAATGTATCGAAAACATGTAGAAACAAACAATCGACTCGTTAAAATACCAATCATATTGAATAAGCGAATCATGTTCATTAAGCCAAAGTGTTTTTCAAAATAAGTTGAATATCTTATCTATTTGCATACTATATGATAATCAAAATGAAATTCCATTCTAAATTGCAAGCAAGGAAATTTTGGTAAATAACTGAATGATATCTCTTCATTCTTGTTCAATCTTATAGTAACCCAAAATCTCATCATAGATGATAAAAATTTATCCGCATAAATTGATCATTCTTGGTACAAGATGCACACTTTTCGAATGTGAATTTTTCAATAATTCCAATTTAGTGATCGTCAGAATGGACAATGCCAAGTTGAAATCATACAAAAATAGAGAAGAATCAGATGCAGGAAAAAGATTGAGGATGAGGTGTGTGTTCAAAGAGGCCAGATATTCGATAATTTGTGTCATTTCAGAATGCATGGTTAATATAGAAATATGAGAGATATGGTAGCCTCCAAATAGTATTGATTAGAATTAACATATTCTCCTTCTCAATTACAATGTTCAAAGAATAAATAAGTTAGATTCGATAAGTGTGATATGACTACAATGATCTCGTTGATAGTATCATCATGAAAACAAAATAAAGTAGATGATGTCAATCGAATGAATTCATGAAGAGCAAAATTATACACATAGAATTGTGTCAATTGATTGTGTGTATTTTTAAGATCGATGAAACGAGTGCGAGTCATTTTTTTAATTATAGATGAAAGATACTTTTGACATATTATGTGAAAATCATGCATGGATAATGAACCAAAACTAAACTTTTGAACTTGAAAATGGTGAATGAGAAGTAATTTAAAATGAGAATTAAGCAAATGAAATGTTTGAAATGACTCATCCGTTGCCAAATACTCGAGTAGATTTATCAATAATTGGTTCTACCATTGATTTCTTGATATCTTCTTTGTTTTTGCTAATTGTTATTTCCTTTTTTATTGCACACTATGAAAGCGAGGCAATGGTAGTCAGCATAGGCTATTTTCTTCTTTTCCACCGCTCTAAAGGTAGTATAATTGTTGAAATATCGATATTTATTTGTCAGATGCTTTGAAAAAAAACTAATTTCATGAAGTGTAACATATGGTTTTTATTTTGCATCTTTGAATTCGCGTGGACAAAAGAAGAAAAGATCTAATAATGTACAAGAGACGAAAAGTTAGGAAATTCCAAACAATTATTCAGCTCTGTTCTCCATTCTTTTTTCCAAGCTGTTTTTATTCTTTCTAGTCATATGTGTTTGACTTATTTCTTAAGTAACTGTGCAAACATACAGTGTTGTCTTAAACAAATATCACCATGAATTTGCTCAATTCACATTGTTCTTATTGTCCTTCTGTTACTTAAGTTTCAAGTAAGAAAGAAAAGAATATTGAATGATCGATCCGGAAGAAAAAATTACTTGAAACCGAATTCCAGATGATGATCTGTCAAGTGATCTTTGGTTATGGTTTAGTGTTAGATTATCAAACGTGCATAAGAAATGATGAAGAAAAAAAAATACTGATGTTTATTTATAGGATGACGGTTAGTCCTAGACAATGTATAGGTTCCAAATACTTGATTTCTTGCTTAAATTTCATCATGTATTTAGACAATACTTAGTACCTGTAATTTCATGTCGTTGAGTACATAAGACGATTACATCAGCAAGAACACTAGCTATTGAAAATGACATATATGAAATGTTGTTGGACAGTCTGACAGAAACTAACGATGAGATCTTTAAAACATTCGATTCTATGAAAAAATTCAGGCTTATATTTTTACAAATCATCTTAGACTATTTTTCAGTTTTTTTTTGCGTAATTCATTATGATAGTTAAGCTGCCGTTGTCAATTTGTCCTCAAATCTATTTCATGAAGTGCACAGATAATAGTCTAAGTATTGGAGTCAGTGTACAGATATTCTTCGTAAGAATATACATGTGGGTGCAGAGCAAATCTTCACACACACTGTGACAGTCGGATGAATCGGCAGCATCCCATGGATATACCCATCGTTTACTCGAACTGCAGGTTCATCAACAATATTATGTTTTCAAAATGTATTTCTATGTGTTTTTGCTTGTATTTGTAGTTTATAATTAATATATTTTAGTTGTAGATTGAACGACTTTATAAGTTGAGTTTATATCTAATGATTTAGTTCGAAGTTTAACATCCTATCAAGACAATACCTTCAAAAAAAAAATGTAGTCTTTATAGGCAGTTACAGAAAATGAAATATTACTTTCAACATATCGACCGGACAAAAAAAAATGAATACAACCTCCTTCATAAACTGATAGTATTGTCTTTATTGTATGCAATTCATCTATTGAAAAAGTCATATCAGTACTGATATTTTCTCAAAGTTGAATGAACAGCCTGCTACTGATGTTCTCAACATAAAATAAGATATGTTCAAGTTACTATTCTTGGTTTATTGGCAACAGATGGCGTATTCGTATAATAACACATGAAACTATTGCGTTGATACAAAAATCACTGTATACAAGCTATATAGATTTGAATCTACTTCCAATGCATATTTTTCCGTATTGATACTGAATGTGACAAAAGTTTTGCAACATTCTTGATTTTGCATGTTACTCTGTTAAGGAAAATGAGAACATTTTTATCTTTTTTTTGTAAAAGATCCGCCATTTTATGTTCTATTCGGACCACAAGAGCAAATGTTTATAGCTATTTTCGAAATATTAATAGACCAGTAAGACGTGATACATATCTGTATCACCATTGTATTTCCTACAAGAAAAAACACAAGAAATATTTAGTGTTGAATTTTTTCTTTGATAATAGTTATTCATTCATTTTGGCTATAATGCTTGGAATCAATCACAGACCTAGTTGTGGCCTTTAAAGTGTAAGGATTATTGTTCATCGTCATCTTAAATAAAAGTGAAAAATGATGTCTGTATCAATTGATCTGAATATTTCGCGTTGAAATAAAACATTTTTTGCTATGTTGCTCTCGAATGTATTGCCTAAAAATAGTGAGCTCGTTGCATAAATTCCTTGATTCAACTACCTCGAGTGTTGAAATACATAAAAAATGTATTAAGCTTAACAAAACAAATAAATAAAATACTGCAATAAGAATTTGTCTTCAACTCTAGATGATGAAAACTTGTTGAGGAGAAATTACATAGGTCTCACCAGAACTTCTTTCGATGTTAAATAAAAATATAAAAATAAAGAGATATTTTTTATTTTATTAAATGTTGACAATAGTCGCCATAATTATTTGCACAGGCCCCAATCCTTGTTAACAATTTGTCACTTTTTCATATTTCATTGACAACAGACTTGAGGTAATTTTTAATACGCTAGTTATACCTAATCTATCTATGGTAAATCCATATCTCATCACTTATAATACTAATAATACACAATAGCTATGTTCCAGAACAAAGTTTCATCAAAATATCACAATTAATTCTGACTCATTCTTGCTTAAGTTCATGATTGAGTTGATAAGGTACCTAACGTGAGCTAAATTTTCTAATATCACTGTTGAGAACTTGTTGTACTAGCTCAATATTTCTGTCTGTCAGCTAGAAAACCAGATGACCAAATCGAGAATGATCATGGACATCTTCGCTTCCTTCAAAGAAACGCTTTCCTCACCATTCCAATTTGGAATGGGGTAAAGTGTTAGGTTCTTTTTTCGTTGGAATCGAATTTCATCTAAAATTGCTTTTGTGAAAAAAAGATGACCGTTTTATCATGTTTCTGAATAGATTTATATGCAAAACAAAAAATATCAAAAAACTTTTACATCCGATAGTTGCATTATTTCAGTATTTTTTTTTATTTCATAAAATAAAATACAATGATTTCTGTAATATATAGAGCCATTTAATCAGTATTCAATAATAAATATATACCATTGAGTATCCAATGTGGAAGATCTTTTTTTTCAATAACGACTAGCTTCAAATACTAAACCAATACCCACTGCATTTCGATGATCCCTTGTTACATAAACTGGCCTTTGTAAATAACTCTTCATATTAAATCGATGTGTTTCAGTAGGTATTATTTTAATTAATGGCATCATTAGAATAAGTTGTTTATTTGATTGTTTAATTAAACAAATACCTTGAACAGATTCATTCACGTCATCTCGAACCTATATTTTGCCATTTTGTAACATTTGTATAAAATGTTACTTTATCTAAAGGCCATTGATTTTTACGTGCAGCTAAATAAGATTTAAGTACATGTAATCCACTTAAATTAATTATTTACGATTATGTATCCATTTTTCATATTGTTGATTTCTTCTTTGAAAATGTTCAATCCAATTTCTAAGTGATTTTTTGTTTGTAGTATAAATGGTCTCCATAATAATGGTATTTGTCCATAATAAAGATATTTATTTGTTTACACATAATTGATGTAAGTAAGTTAAGTCGTTGAATTTCTTCAATAAGAATAATTTCTAATGGTGTTAAGATTTGTTTAACTGTTTGTTTTATAATATTAAGATTTTTCTTTTTAGGTGGAATTTGTTCAAGAATATCATCAATTAATGATAAAACAAATTCTAAATAAATTAAAATAAATGATATTTTATAATGTTTCAAAAATTCAGATGAAAGAAAAGCAATACACGATTCTTTTCTATACTAAAATTTCTTTCGAAATAAAAATCTATGCCTACCAATTGATAATGATTAAATTAAAACTGAACGTAACAGATATTGTGAAAGATATTTTTCTTTTCTATAAACTGAATTCAGATGATTTAATCTGTTTGTGAACATTCTCAGATAGAGATTTTCTTGAATTCATTGAATTTGATCTTCAATCGTTGAAATAATGGAAAAATTAGCTCATGTAAAACAAAAATCTTAAAATAGCTGGATTAATTCAAACATAGAATAAGAAATATTTAGTAATGATCACTGACGTAAGATGAGTGTCGTATTAGAATTACATTTGGACATGTGTGGAAACTATTATATAGACAATTCATTACACATTGTGAAAGATTTATAGTTACTTGAGAAAAGAAAGTCAAAAGAAGCTCATGCTTTTTCTAAAACTATATTAACACCAAATGTTCGAAATTTCGAAAAAGAGATTTATTTAATATTACTCTAGGATAAATACTGAATTTAGAGGAATTGTTCATTGACGAGGGAATCTTGTCAAGTGATAAAAAGCTTTTCAGACAAAACTTATGTCATTTCGTAGAGCCCGCTGAAAATATATAAAATCGATGACGATTTATGCCCTTATTGCTTTCTTTTCGAGTTATGGCTATTTCACTGATTTTATGGCCTATATCATATATCGAAAGTGTTACTTAGGACGAATGTTTTCTCGCTCAAATATTATATCTTTAATGAATATACATATTTTAGACGAGATTAAGAAAAGTTGGTCTTTTGTAAATCTGGTATCACAGGAAGAAAACATTTGTTCTAATTGAAAATTTCAGTATATGACATGATTCATTACATGTCTTTATGAACAAAATTTTAGATCGAAATAATGACATTGAAATGGTTATAACTTGACAAGAAAACAGCAAAGACATGGATCATTATTGATGTAGCCTAGTCTCAATATACTCTACAAAATGACACAAATCTCATTTAAAACTCTCTTTATCGTTTAGCGAGATTCCGTGATGCAACAATGTCAGTGAGATACTCGAAAAGTCTCTATTACTAGTGCGTCACAGATGCTTGATCCAGTAGCCTATTAAATTAAAAACCCTCCTACAGGTTGACTTCTCAAACATTGAGAAACATTTCATTTCATCAAAGTCGTACTATGTATAATTTAATAAGTTTATCAATCGACAGAACGTGACATACTAATGCAAAGAAAAAGTACATGTTAATTCTCTAAAACTTTTGATTCGAATCTATTCTTTTGTTTTACAATAGAATCAGATATTCCTTATTTCCACAGATACTATACTGATTTCTAAGTAATTACTTCTCTAAGAAAGGAGTTAATTCGATAAGGTTCATACGTTTTGTTTTTCTTACGTTCTCTACTTAAACTATCTTCAATGTCATGTTATTCAGGTTGTATATCAAGCATCATTGAGTAAATTTCATAAGATGTTTAGTTAAATAATTGATTTCAATATAAGCTAGATAAAGATCACAAAAAATGGAATTATGAAAGAATTGATTAAAAAGAAAAGTTTTAGATAAAAATTGATAATCCATTTGTCGATTTTCAGTGAGATTAATATCAAAATTTGATTTTTCTATATTACACGTTGAAGAAGATTCGAAATTTTATCACGTAAAAGTTTTTCGAAATTATATTCAATATGTGGTTCAATCTAAAATAAATCAATAAAGAAAAAAAAACACATACTGATATATTTGCTTCTCATAATAACCATAATTCTTTTGCTGATAAAAAATCACGCAATTCAGGAATAAAATAATCGTATTTTAATAATTTATTCGTATCAATAAAGAAATGAAATGGTTGAAAATAATCAAAAACAGAATCTCCAAAATATTCTTTCATATAAGTATGAATTATACATCGATCATATGAATCAATTACACGAGCACTATATACGACTACAAACAAGAAATCATTTTATCGAAGAAAAAAAGCTGTTAATACTATCCATGCTAGTTTATATATTGTATTTATTTTGGGACACATTTCTTCACCATCTTCTTATTTCAGTATTGATATACGCTCTATAATTGTATATCAATAACGGCTGTCACAGTCTGTAACGCGGGGATGGATGGAGTCGAACCTGTCGGCTCCAAAATTTTCGGGTCCGAACCTGATCAAGGGCGAAACTAACCATACGAACTCTAAGGGAAGACTGTTGGCAAGATGTTTGCCACGATCTGCAATGTAGGAGCATATTGCTAGGGATGTCTGTCATGTATGTCACGGTCAGAGTATGGGATAAAAATTTCTATTCGATATAATTTAAGACTGCTTTTAGATTGTGTTTCATAGAATATGTAGTTCAAATGTACCTTCTCCGATTTAATATCGTATTGTTGGCCATTGAATTGCAAGACTAGCACGTTCTAAATTCATGTTTAAATAAGACTTTAAAATATCGACTGAAACATGAACTAAAACAAATCAAAAGTAAAAATGTTGATTTCTATTGATCTATTAATCAAAAAATATTTACAATCTGGCTCATTGAAATCATATATGCATAATCATTCAATCTTATCATATATTCTTCGATCAAGTATAATTGCATGAAAAAAAAAAGCAAGAATAAATATCATACAAGGGTATGCTGGATGATCAGATTCAGTAAATGTTTGTAAATTTATATAAATAAATATTGAACGAAGATTTAATTTAAGAGTTGATGGAGGTTCTATTACTACTTTATATGACTTTTGAAAAAGTCCGACTAAAACAAAACCTAAATGATTACAATCTTACGAATACAAGTAACTTACTAGGAAATTTCTCAATTGGTTCTGCTGTCATCCAAAGACGAAAATTTGGCTGAAACTAAAAGAAATACAAAAAAATATATCTATGTTATTGATATTGCATATACTCTTGAAATGAGAAGAAATCAGTGTGGGTGTCGGTGTGGGCGTGGTAGGGATATGAGTTTGAATTCAAAACAATTACTCACACCCTCACCCCACACTCACCCACACCCACACCCTTCCTATCTGTTAGCTACTCAAGATTACAGAACCATTTGTATTTCCTAGCTGGCTAACAATCGATGATGTTGAAGCACTATTGTAATATTTCATGACAAGTGCCGTTAGTATAGGGTTAATTAAAGCTTATTACATGTAGAACTAAACGGTCATAGGCATATAAACTTGTCATCATTGACGTACGACTGAGAATGTCTTTTACAAAAATGAAGTGAGCGTCAATGGTGTCAATTATAACATCGGATATATTTTTCACAACTTGAAATATCACTCGATTTAATTACTATTGCTTTTGACATCTGATGCACCCGATGATCAGTCAATAATATTGTCTTCTGAATGCTTGCCTTTCAATATTTTTCAAACATAAGAAGTTACTAATTGATTCGATTTTGTTTAATAGAACTTAAACGTGACATCTTCGTAATAGATAGTCGTTCTTGACCGGTTACTAATCACATAATGAAACGACTTAACAATGTTACATAGTTACGTAGATCTGGTCGAAGAGAAAACGTCCAAATCTTTCATATTTTACTCACAATAATGTTTCGACTAGCATATTCTTTAGTGACATTTAACATCGAAAAATCAGAACAGTAAAATATCGTTGCAATGGGTTGATGAAGAACTTTCCATCGCTGAATGAAACGTGTTTAAGAGAGCAATCTGATCGATTTTGCATTTATTTTCATCAGAAAAAACATTTTGACACGATCAAAAAAAAAATCAGGATTATAAGGAAATGTTCATACATATTGTCTTGCATCATGTCTAACTAGGAAGTAGGGGTGACAAAATGCGTCGAGCTGTGACAACAAGATAAATACTTGTACACGAAACAAAGGTTGCCGTTACATAAGCAGGAATCCATTGGAAATAAAAGCGTACAAGACACAATGAAAGCACCCACAGAACGAGACATCTAATGTACAAAAAAAGTACTCCTCCTAAGCCTTCAGATTTTGTCAACTTGTCAGCATTGCAATGCATAAACAAAAATCCAATAATAAGAAAGAAAATTGAAGTAAATATAATAATGGATATGTCATCGAGCGAGTTAAGAAGTAACGGTATGCCGCTGTGTAAAACTCCTGTAAGCATTATAATGACGAAACAGCCAAACCATATACTTCGGAAGCAATAAAAGAAAGCAATACAAGTCCAACGAATCGACACACCTAACATAAAGCCGAAACCAGTCATCCACAGTAACATGAAGATGTATGGAATGTTGAGTGGATTTGTCAGCATGAGACAAACTAGAGCCCATAAACGACGCCACCACACTAAAGTACGATAATGCTCTTGAATTGTTTGCTGTTCAGTTGTGACATGAAAAATGTTTTCCAGTGGAATTGAATTGTATTGCATTAGATAATTCGGTTCAAACGTATAGGTAGGCTGTGGCTGATTCTGAAGTTGATTGATGATTTGAAGATTGCGTTGCATGGTCATTAACGCACATTCGATTCGATGTTGTTGTAATAAACACCTAACAATCAAACCATTACATGACGGACAATACCCAAGCTGCTGGCCACATTGTCTTTCATGAACTTCAATTTCAGTCACTAACATGAGTCTCTCACAATACCGACATAGAGTAGAAGGATACATGCACTGGCCGGTTTGATGTGCTTCTAAAGTGTCATAAGTAAGTACGGCAGTACAACCAAATTGGAAACTTTGACATCGAATCAATATATTGGACAAAAGACATCGAACAGCTGGTGAACAACGTTTATCTTCGTATGTTTCACATCCATATGGGCATTTTGTATTTTCTTGGCGCCACTTGGTAATGCAAGCATCGCAGAATAAATTCTGGCAAAATCCACAAGAATGTGGTTTCCACAAAAGACATGAACATATTGGACAAAAAAATTCACGAGGTACCTTTTCAATATTGCAAATACGTTCACAATTAATGCTGTCTGTTGTCATTGCTACCCTTGTTGGTTGAGCTATTGCTTGATTAGAAACTTGTCCAAACACACATATTGTTGCATTTTGCTATTGACAAATTATAATTTTGAGTTGGTATTTTCGTCTTTTCCAAGTAAACATGCATGTTTAATGACGCACAACATCGCCTTATCTATCAATACATATAGCAATATATATTATTTCCTCTTTCTTTCTTACCAAGGTGTGTAGAGAGACAATATTGAAGCACATGTTTCTTTTTTCATTCGTGATACTGTTTGCGCCAATCAGCACTATCATGTAATATGCCCATTTTGATACTGATAACAATGAATGGATCTCAAAGTTTATAATAAGATATATGGAATTGTATTACATATTCGAATAATTGGGACATATCGAATGAACATTTCGTAATTGTCCGTCTATGTTTTCGTTTTCATATTTAGATATTTTCTTTCTATTCTTTGATGATAATGTGGGAATCCTGAATTTCATCAACTAATATATCAAATAACCGTGAAACTATGTCTGATTTGGCTCGATCGAATTATATTAAGATGTCGAGAGACATGTTGAATATAATCGATTATCTTTTGAACCCATTTTTGGGTTTTTCTTTGACGGTAAACGACTATTATATTGAAAAATATGCTCGTTAGCTCCCTGAATTTCGAATCATCAAAGTGAACTTGTGTAAAATCATAGCACTGAGCGTTGGTAAGCAGAATAACTGGTCGACATAAGACTGAACCATAATCAATAGCTGATGCGACAGCCTTTGCAAGAAAATGTCAAACTCTTTGACAACATATTGTCGACATCTTAATCAAAAAGCTTTTTTTTGCTAGAAAGAGCTATGTCAGAACTACAAATTTTGAATCAGATATATTTTTCCAGAATGAACTTCACAAGGAAGGAAAGTCCAATATCAAACACCTCCAAATCAGATCTTGCAATTTCATTATCGAGCAACGACATTTTTTATTTTCCGCTATTCTTTTTTTATATCAGATGGCTGATGCAAAAAAATGCGTTTAATGTCAGTTTTTTTTCAAGCATAAAAAGTGCTATATTCAACGGTGTTTCGCAAGTTAAATTTACTCTTGGCTGTTATACCAAAATATAGCTTTTTCTTAAAAAAAGACTCAGTAAATTAATCATTCTTACTAACCGGCCGTTTTGCAACGGTAACATAATGCTTTTTTCTTACTGTTGTGCGCTATATTTTGATGCATATTTATTCCAATTTGATTCATTCATGCAGATCACCATGATCTGGAAATACAGGTTTTGCATCGCATATTATTAATATCATAGAAAATTTTCGTCGATAATAAAGGAATACAAAAGTTTACGAAGTGATATAGTGCTTAAATATGAATATAGAGAAAAACTTGTCAGTTTTGTTTCTAGCTGGACTAAAATATTCAGTTGACGCATTGATTCCGAACATCGTAGTGGTAGAGACGCTTACAAAAATATGTCGAAATTTTTCTTAACATATACAAAAATACGATGGAATATATTTCTGTCTATCTGTTGCTTTGACTCATGATTATTCATCGACAATGAGTTGATTTCTGCGCACTCATGGATATTTTCTCAATCTTCAATGAAGAAAAATGTCTGAACTTCGCTAGGTGCTGACGTGTTGAAAATATTTAGGCAATATTTGATAAAGCAAATCGACTGAAGACACGAAGTTGACGAACGCAGCATAACATCAATCTCATAAAAAATGGTTAGCGTTCTATCGGCCAGCCGCCATAAGCTTACGATTGATGAAGACGAAAGAGTCTATTCATTATGAAATAATGTGATTGTCTTCTTCTGTAAGAATTGTTTTCTGGGTGTGGGTGTGGGTGTTGGCATGGTTGTTAATCAAAGACAGACACCCATATCCACACCAGAAACGATGTCAAACCAATATTGTATCAACAATTTATTCGTGACTTTTTTGACGGAGACTTTCTCATCTGTTTGAATTATCTGAATAAATTGTTCTGCATGATACTAAAAAAATAGAATTTGTTCGAAAAAACTAAAACAAACTAATAGATGAATTTAAATAGAGATAGTAAAACAAAAAGTCATTTGAAATCAAAGATCAATTTTTTACATGTTCGTAACAATTGAATATGAAATGCATAAGACAAATGAGAGAGAAAATGTGTGTATTGTTCATCACACGCGTTGCTTAGTTTCTTTTATATCCCCCATCGAATAAGTAACGGTAATAATAATCAATAACCGGGAAAAACCATGTTAATTATACATATTAAGATACATAGTAAATCGTTATCTACTTTTATATTAGAGTAAATTGGATGGAAAAAGTTCGATTGACTTCCAAATGATCAATTATACATCAGTAAAACGATTCAAAATAAAAAAAATGTTTCTTGATTATTCCAAGAATATATTTGAATATTTAATTTCAAAATAATATTTTGTGTTTTGACAATAATTGTTTTCATGTCTTTTGTGGAACTCACATATATTTTCGAAGAAAATAGTGGGTGTAGTTTTTAAGTTCAAGTTTTCGCGGCTTCCCCCCCCCCCCCCCGCCCCCCCCCCCCCCCCGCCGCCCCCCATCTCTCCGGCCCCCACCCACCCCCCCCGCCTC